TAATTTTACTCGCATTTTTTTGTTGTAAATGTATCAATTATTTTTTAAAACAAAAACTTTTAACACGCTAGCTACTATATTCAATATTTTGCTTAGTGAGAATAACCAGTAAATTGGTTGCCTATTTTAGTGAATTTTATTATTCGACGTTTACTGCATTAGATATAAAGTCAATCTCATTCTATTATTTAAAATTATAGATATTCGTTTTTCAAAAAGGTTTGCTGAGAGATGGTGGTAATAATAGACAAGTATATTAACACGCGGATAAACTTGTTTACAATCTTGAGTGTTGTGTTGATCTCAGAAGTTGTATAACACCCAACAGATCACAAAGTAAGCAAACACACGATAACGTCATTTAATGTTTGTTTCATTACATATCGATATGAATACGTTCAGACCACATTGACGATAACACGTTTATCAAACGTCTCAGTTAACGAATTTTAATACTCTATTAAAGACCATATTAATCTAAATTTAATATCCAAAAAACCCTCGAGCCTATTCGTTTCGATGATTCCACATGATTGGTCGAATAAATATTCGCAAGTCGCACAAAAATAATCATTTAACTTAGCGGCTAATCATCAGACTATGATGCTATGCCGATATGACATGGTATCTACGTTACGGTTTGACGTTGACATGCAGTATGCCGCACACTGCACAGAAGATCGGCCAACACACGGATCGTCTAAATCTAAATAGGGACATTGCCGATATTTCAATTAGATGTAACCTGATTTGCAAAATGAACCCGAATTGTTTATTTATTACATAAGAACAGACCCTCTGACATAATCGCAAGAGAATGCTGATTTGTTATAGCAGTATCGGTGTTTGGTATCAGTAATGGCCATTTTTAAATGACATGCGGATACCAAGACTACAGTATGTGTATATATACTTGGCACTGATGATGTTGAAAAAACTTGGCTTTGGTGTACAACGCTGGTGTATATGGAATAAGCCGTATGAAGAGGGGGGGGGGAAACAACTGCAATGTTTTCAAAAAATCCATGGAAAGAAAAACGGAGATTCATCTTATGCAACCAGATCGTTGATCGGGTAGATGAACTGTTAATAATGTGAACATTTTATCATTATACAATACTGTTTCGTACTTTTGCTTATTTATCTTCCATATTAAGACCTATGTCCCCTAACTTTCCCACGCAATAAGTTTGATCTGCAAGAGAGGTGTAGTGGCCCAGTAGAATGATAGACCACTTGTAGTTAGGCAATAAAGTTCTAAATTATAAAAAAAATGATAGACCACTAACTTGCTATACTACTTGCAACAATTTCGGATATAAATCGCTTGTTTACTATATAAAATTTTCGTTCTGAGAAACCTACGGTATTAACAATCTGTGACGTAAGCAAAAGTTCTATTACCGCACGTTCTTTTTGCTCGTTTGGATGAGATTAAGCTAACCTCCATGGGTAATAATAAATACCTGAACATAGACCTTTTCACATGATGTAATTTAATTAATATTAATATCGTCAATTTCCCCCGAAAATGTAATATTATATACAGAAATTGAATACAATATGCTTATGCATGCCAACGTCTTTGTCTCTGAGAGAGTAAAAAAAAAACGACAAATCTGTTATGGGAATTGACAAAATAACAAACGAACAAATTATTTATTACGATCACATCTTTTTGCCTTGGACGTTGTTTTCAGTACACAGTCCTAACTAATAAAAGTTTCGACGACGACACCCATGCAAATCATATCCTAATACTTATCTGGTTATAATAGCGATCCGATCGATCGTTATTAGTATTAGTATTTATTTTGATTCAATTCTTTAATTTGACATAAGCAAAACTTTTCAATTTAGATAATGGCTCTACAGAGGTCGACCTATGGTGGGTGTATGCAAAGATAAATGAAATAAAGTAAATATCTCACATTACTGGTCTTCAATGTATTAACGTTTCTATTTAATTAAGCTCTCCAGTTTAGTAAACTAATTTGGCGTTTTGCCTAGCCTCTGTTTCAATCACAATAATAACAACTTTGTTATACAAAACTGCAACCCAAGAACTCAAGGGTAATAATCATGTGACACTAATTATTAACTGTTGCTTTGTGCAAATATATTTAACCCTTACTCCTGCTGATAAATCGGACAACTTTCCCCGATTTTAGACTCGACAGTTTTTGTAAGGGAAACGAAAAAAGCTGGCCTTCTGAAATCTTTAACTTTTTTTAATCTTTTTATATTGTCTCGTTTTTTTTTCTTGAAGAAACAACACCGTTGCGCCCCCTTTTTAATTCTATCGTATGTCATAATAATGAATAGCCATATCATAGTTGATGTAACAATTACTAGTCTTTCTTTTTTATCGGCCTTATATGCAGCAATCTCGCTCTATAAATCTAAAAAGATTCCTGTAATCCTTTACTACACGTTAAGCCTTCTGCTCTTTTCCGGATTGGAGCTAATCGGTTTTATATATAAATTCGATTGGAAAAAAGCACCAATTGAACTTTGTTATTTCCAAGCATTGGCGGTAAGCGATCAGTTGACTGGATGTGAGCACGAGCCACGCAGCAATCGATAAGCAATGCGTAGTGTGCAATGAGCAACAACATTATCTTATTTCTACAAAAGTTTTTAGTACTAACAATCTCCCAATCCTTTTTACTCTAAAATTTAGATAGAATTTACTGCCTTTTCAATAGGCGCCTGTATATTTATATTCACCATACAAACATACCGACTTCTCGTATTACGCGTTCGAAACGAATTGACCGGCTCCAGATGGAAAAAATTCTACGCGATGTTTCTGATCATATATCCCACAGTCGGAACTATACTTGTGTCTATTGCAGCTATCAAGCGACGAGCGGTGAGAATAACAGAATTTAGTTGGTATGTAACGTTTGAGACAATATCAATCATTTCATTTGTTTATCGTCATGTATTCATTTTGTTCGTCTATCTTTAAATCAAACAGCTTAGTACTCGATCCACTGTGGGTTCGCTTACTGGGCTATAACGGTCCCAACACAGTTCTAGCAATATTTTCCATCTACTTTGCCTGTCATGCGACATTAGTAGTAATCCGTCATTTGTATAAATTCAATCCGCAACCATTTCCCATACACCAAGAAGCGGATGAAAAGAATGCCAAAGTAGAAACAGAAGCCGATTCGTCCGAAACACAGTCGAGTGGCAAAGCTATCGTATCTGATTCCAATGAATCACAAGATCACACTTTGGTGATGCAGGTAGCAACTATTGGTGTCGAATCTACGAGTTGCGATAGCAGCAAATCTCGCCTTTCGAGAACTGTGTCTTCAACACCGGCTCTCAAAACCAGGAATAACAGATATAAAGTCACAAGAGCCGTCATCATTCGCATGACCATCTTCATAAGCACTTATGCCCTTGTAAATATCAATGCATCGATTGGAGTCATCTTGACTATTATAAAAAGGGAACCCGTGGAGACAGGAGATTTATATGTTTGTGGGACAGTGGGAATCTTGATGTGTTTGGTTTTTGGGACAACTGATAAAGCAATTGATCGGTTGGGTTTAAAATGGGTGCCAGACATTCAGTTATGTTCGCGGATCAAGGTATTCAAGAAAAAAAACGAGCAAAATATATAAAAACTGTATATAGATTAGTCTACGGGGAAAGAAAAATAAATAAAAATAAATTGCTAGTCAATAACGCTTATTTTGATAATAAGTGTGTTTCCAACCAATAATTAGTGCATGTTCGCACGCGTGTAATGAGTACACATTTCCCTTTTCATTTGCCTGTCTGTCCATCTCGTAACTTGAGTTTATTTGCCGATCCTGATTTTTCCATTTCGTCCCAGAGATTGTCCATATGACTAAAGATAACGTCACGCCCACCCACGAATGCGGTCAATTCAAACAAACGATCTTTATAACCGTTTTCTAGCAACTCCTATGCCAATAGCAACAAACACAACAACAAAACCGATCCATTGCACTACTCTCCCCTTGCCACCTCGCGCCCGCTTACTCTCCACGTCTTTCTCAAGCCTTTTCTTCCATTCCTTTCTCCTCATCTGCCACACAGTCCAAGCCATGCCCTCTGTATCGCTGGCGATGCTGTAATCATCAAACACGACTTCGACCATCAAATACTTGTGATCGGACGCGGAATAGTCATCGTTACCTTTCCATCGATTGATTACGTCGAATCCACGAACGAGTGTCCAATCGAGTTTAGCAGAATATAAAGCGTAGTGTTTTGGATATTTCATTGTTACGTCGTAGGACGGATGCCATGGGTCGTAGAACCCAGGGTTGCGTGCATCGGTAAGAACTTTTGGAGTAAAGCCTGAGAGTGCTGTTCTGTTGTTATTATCATTATAATTACCAACACCAACACCAACACCAACATCAACACCAACACCGACACCAACATCAACACCAGCATTAACATCAACATTAACGGTAACGCCAACGTCCATGCCAACAGCATCCGCCCCAATATTTCTATTATCATTATCAGTAATCTTCTTCTTATTGCCTACCCACCATCTCATCAATGCAATTACCGGCCAAATCCCACCATATTGCAGATACACGTTGGTATCACCACTACAGGCGTGCCAAGAAAGTAGATTTTTATCCCACCACTCTGATTCGCTCATGCCAAGAGACAGGACACAGTACCTATCCCTACTGAATGACGATAATCTGGCTATTGAGTGTGATTTCGTGTTGAGATCACCAAGGATTAATTGGTATGGGTGAGTGGAAGCATGGATCACCGAGTCTGATAAAATCTCGGAAAATTGATTTACTCGGCCTATAAGACCGCAGAACACCTATTAAAAAGACTTGGTGAATTGAAAGTAAATCTTGAAAGCACGAGCGCGCAATGTCATCTTACTTCTAAATGCACGCAATAACATAGTATCGGCGGACCAAATGATGTTTTGATTTCGGCAACCAGGGTAACTCGCCTATGAATAAAAAGAAAACCCACATGAGTAAATTCAATTCCCAATCATTCATCCACATTTCACACCATCCCCACCCCCCTCCCATTTACCTTCCCTTTCTGGGCTCGTTTAACTTGTCACCATCCTTATCCCAATCGAAAGGCTGATGCTTGTGATCGAGGACTCTAAAGTCAAGATCATACTTTGAGAAAATAGCATTTCCATGTACTCCGCCTCCTTGGTCCCTGTCGTGTCTCTTTTCGCTTTCGATCTCGATAAACTCGCACACGAAACCGCCTTTCCATTTCATGTTTGCCGCAATCTCTGTAAAATGATCTCGATTTCCCGATCTTTTGCAATCAATGTCTATTTCCTGGATAAATGCTATGTCTGGGTCCAGTTCTTTGAGCGTCGAGAGAATTAAAGAGGGACAATAGTTACGTTCTACATTCCATTGAAGGCATTTAAGCGTCTTGGCCAAAGGTATCGGATGAGACGTTGATGATGATTGAGATGAATGCTTTTGCTGAGTCCATGAAGAAGAAGAAGAAGGTGATGATGATGACCTGCAGTCGATAACTATTATTTCGCCTGGCTCTGGTAAGGTTAGAGGCGCCTCCGCCATAATAAAGTGACGATAAATTGTGGGGTTTTTGTGAATTGACGTGCAGATATGGGTCTCAGAGGCAGGAACCGAGATTTGGTTGTTGGATTTACCAAACGGTCAATGAGTGAGAGGATATATCACATTGGTGCAACCGACAATCAAGTCTTCCCCGTTTACTATTTTACATGGTCTGTATTAAGGAAACCACCCTCCCCTGAGTGTGCCCCTAAATTTACCGTCTGAAATGCACGCATACAAATTTGACCAATGTAATTGCAACGATCAAGTCAACATTCTGCCCACGCTTTAACATACTCCTTTTATGGAAAGTAAACTAATGCCTTTGTTTAACATTAAATTATCTCATTTGTATATTATTCCTTTTATGTCTTGGGTTAAAATTAATAATAATAAGCGTTATACTTTTTATTGATATTCGACATAACATATGACAACGATAACGTTGATACTAATACTAAAATATAATACAAACGCGATAACAGTGATTCATCATGGTGGTGTTTTTTTTCTTTACTTCAAAAGCTTGATTTAACACATACTGTAAAAACATATACTGTGTAGAGTTCATTTGAACTTATCGCAAAATACTGTTTTATACTTTTTGTTGTAACTCCACGCAAAGTATACAGTCATGACACTCCTCGAAGTAACAATGTAAGGCCTGCGATGACATTCTATGTTTCCAGTCTCTACATTCTCAAAGAAATACCTCAGCCAATCGTCACATGTCATTCCTGCCGTGAAGTAATCGCCAATGTTGTTTGGATTCTCCTTCAAATTCCGATAATCGAAATACCCGCTGCCATCAAACATTAATCCCATCCTGCGAATTATGATTTTCGCCTTTGCCAGACATTGAGCTCTAATCTCATTATCCAGAATATCATCGATCATAGCCCCGAAAGTCTGTTTGGGCCAGTTCATCGAGTGCATAATGTGTGTCGTCCAAGGAGAAGAAACCGATCGCGCTATTGTATGAAAATCATTCTTGGTGCAGTAGTCGCAGATGTTGCTCCATATAACAGTGTACGGTTTGAACCGATTACGTGAAAGCCAGACGCAGTCGGCAGTTGTCAATCCAGCCTTGTACAGAGAAATTTTGAGAACGCGCTTTTTGGTTGGAACAACTCGAGAAGATGCACGCCGCGTTTTCGAGGCCATTCTCAAAGTGGAAGAAGAGCCAGCGACGTTCCTGCGATCGTCTTGACGGTTAGTACCGTTTAGCCATGCTTTTATTTTATTGATTTTTTCTTCCAAGTATTCATAAACTGCATCGAGCAATGACGTGGTTTCACTGTTATACGTTGTTAGGATGTTTTCCATGGGAATACCACTAAACATGACTTCGGAAGCGCCGTGTGGATCATAACCATTCAGACAGGCAAACATCGCAACACTTCCTAGCAAACCGCTGCTCTGGCAACCAAATCTGCTCATGTGGTCGGTTCTCTTGAATTTATTATTCCTCTTGCCCTTTGCTGACGTGGCTTTGCCGTCGGATCGAGAAAGCAAAGGAAATTCACCTGTTAGAATATACCTTGCAAATTCAACTCGATCTCGTGGTTTACATAGGTTGTCGACTATATAATAACAGTGAGAAGTTGGTGGACACTGTGCTACCCATTTCTTATGAGCTGCCTCTAATGTCAATCGCGGATCACCTTTCCCAACCGTAGACCAATACTTAATATGTTTAATAACTTCGTCTTGTGAATGAGGGAGGCAAATCTTTTCGGCCGAATCAGTCAGATCGCGGTGCTGTTGAACCAGACTATTCACTGCCTGTTGGAAGTAATCGAACGTCGCGGTTGTCCATACCGATGAGTACCATACTTGAAGAATGTTGAGCGCGGGCACGTCGTTCATCATCATGGCCAATATGACTTTGGTCTTTGCTACCGCATATCCACTCGCATCGAATCCTATAAGTCTGGTAATTGAATGTATCCCGTCATCATCAGAGTCATCGTCGTCGAAGTCATCGTCAGAGTCATCGTCAGAGTCATCGTCAGAGTCGTCATCAGAGTCATCACTTCCGTTCTCGATATGAACTCCAAAGAGAAAACTTAGATCGACAAACCCGACAGCAATATTGGTACTTCCCTTGACAAAGCCGAACTCAGGTTTGACTTCATTTGCAAAACTATTGACGCCACCATAGATTGCCGCACGTTTTTTATAAAAAATGGAACCGAGTCCGAGCTGCTTGGACGACAAAAATTCGAATAATTCAGGTGAGGTTTGTCCCCAGCGCTTGTGCAGTTTTGCGAGATCAAACCGTGATGATGACGAATTACTAGTTGTCATCCATTGCTGCAATGCTAATCTTTCTCCCAACTTGGTTGCTTTAGATAGGATCATATGACCAGATGCATGAGCAGGATAGTAAGATTTGTATTCCGTCGCATAGTCAGGGAATATTAAGGCACACGACGTATAGTGTCGCCCAGTGTCGACATTGCTCGCCATCAAGTTTTCGAACAAGTATACAAGTTGTTCTGAAGTAAAAGAACCAGGTAAATCATAGGGAATGTCGTCTGCTAAATTTTCTTCATGTACTGTACTACTTTCAGTTCCGGGTTTACAATCAACCTTGTGGTTTTTCCAATCTAATTTTTGATGTTGGGCATTACAATAATAAACTTTATGACAACGGCTACAAACTTTTGTCGTTGGCGATTTGCAGATAGTACAATGATTTTGCATAATAAGAGACGGTGGGAAGGGACTATTATGCAACCTTTTTGGAGACGCCCGGTTTAAAAATAAATATTCGATGGAACTTGTGATCACGTATGTATAGTCATTATTACTCAATTGCTTTGACCATTATTTGTCAAATATGGGTATAATCGAGACATAATTAATCATAGCAACGTAATATCATCTGTCTTTGTGCCCTCGGCAAGATTATGTAATTTAACGGTCGATTTTATTTTCTCAAACTTTATTTGCACAATTGTTAGACGTCTGGTCTAGTATTCTTGTCAATAAATAACGAGCATGCAGATGTTCTGCTCCTACTCAAAGAAATAAATAAAGGTAGAGTGTGCCAAACGCAAGTCTTTGAAGCAGTTAGAGGTCCACCTTAGTTGCGCCTAATAAAGGACACGAAACCAAACGCAAATCTTTGGGATCGATCTCTATTTATAGAGGTTTTGCAGATTTCATTCAGGCGTGTATCACCGGTTTTTAAAATTTGCGAGAGTATTAATTCATGGATTGAGGATTAGGAAAAATACACATTAGAAAAGCTTTGTATAATCAAATTTACTACTGAACAAATCTGATTAAAATTATTTTATCGGGCCTTCCTGCATTCCGGCTTTTCAACATGACAATTGGGTGAGACTAAAAAAGCGGTAATACTCGGAATTAGAGAGCTTTTAATATTACTAGACATTGAAATGTGATGTTGTTCGATAAACCGAAGCACTACAAACCGAATGCACTCCTTCACAAGGAACGCCGAATTTTGGAGTTATAACAAAATTTACAGTAATGGGGTTGAAAAAAAATTTTTTTGGTTATAATAGCAGTTTATGTTATGGAAAATAGCGATTTATAAGTTCTGTAATTTCGTTACTTTAACAGAACGAATTAAAGCAAGTAGGAAGTTTTTAATTATTTACTTATACGTCATGTTTATTTAATATTTTAAAGAATTATTGACATATCATTATGTATTTCCACTAGTTATGTGATAAGCATCCAGATATTCTTACCACGGGTGTTTGGATTTACATATCACAACAAATGGCGAGAGTGTTGTCTGATAAAAGAACGGAGATGGATTTTGTCTGGCGTGTACAAACCCCAAGATAAATGTGTGTACAGTAAATAAGAAGCGAATTGAAACAAACATGTGGATGTGCGATGTAACACAAGTATTGAATAACAATATTTGTTTCAACTTGATAAAAGAAATCTTTAAATTCAACCTGATACTATGTCGTGGGCATTAGAAACTGTTAATAATCCAGCAATAGATGATTTGGTTCAATCCAGTCATGTGCGTGAATATACACTTGCATGGATTTCTTTCGAGGAAATCACCAACGTAAAGCCTACTCAAATTGACAACATTTACTGTGCTATTCGTTATAATGCGGCGATAACGCTAGTATTACTTGGAAGTAGCGAAGAATGCACATACACACTTGTGAGTGAGTTTGCTAGAATATACTCACTTCCAACACACAAGTACAATAACAGTGACGTTAATCAATTTAGAAGATACTCCACATGGCTTGAATATCGCTATTGGATTCACCAAATTTAATGACGATAACTATTACATGGTTGCTTATAAACTCTTTTATGTTTGGGTTACCATCGGATTTACATACAATACAAGGAAACAAAAGTATTATCTAATAAAAGGAGATTATTATTATGGACATGGATTATGTCTGGTTTGTATAGAGCCACTAGAACCTAAGATCAAGGCATTCTGTTATAAGTGCAAAGCAGCAGCACCTCCTGATTGGACAACCGGCAACAAGTCTTTGGATTCATTCATTATGGAATCGTGGAGTAATACAATTACCAAACATGATGCGTATATACAATGGATAGAATATTCTCTATTAACAAA